CCGGTGGAAGTTTCGTTTGCCTTTTATCTAAATGCAGTAGAAATTGTGTAGAACACGCCTGGGGAGGCAGTAGCAAGCTTTCTGAGTCAGAAATCCATATTTCCATCCTGACACCCATCCTACAGAATGCCAGGGGAAAATATCTATTGTGGCCTTGGCACCATCCAGAGGTGGCTGGCTAACTGCCCCTCATCCCAAATCCCCTTCCCCGAGGAATCCAGACGACCCACACGGATTGACCTTCTTGAATACCTGGGCTGTTTCTGGACAGCCCGCTGTGTCCTGGACACTCATTCTGGCCAGAGGCTGGGTTTCAGTACCAGATAAATGCTACATAAAGGCTAGCCCTACAGGTCTTTCCCATCTGCCAATCCATCCAACTAGGGATTTCCTCCAGAAACCCACTGGCATCCAGAGTCACATTTCATGAGAGATTTGGGTTTTAAAATGCACTGCTTCTTTAGACACGTTGTATCCAGATCGGAAGAGTAGCCGCTGAGTGCAACAAAGTATATTAGAAGTATCTGTGTGCATATCCCACCTTGAGTTATCATTCTTTTCCCAGTGCCTTGAACAAGAGGGTCTTAGACAGGAGAAAGGATACATCTTTGCTCCATGTTTGTCTGGAATCTTCTAGGTGTTCGATTAATGCTTCACCATAGTCGGGATGGATGAGCAAAACACATCACAGATACTACTTGTAATCAACGTATTATTGCTTAGAAAAATCCAGATGATAATTTATGCACATTGAGTGTTCTCTCTCGTTCTGACTGTGTGTCCTTCTTTAATTTTTGCTTTCTGTGATTCCTACTAGAAAATTTAGGTCATACTCCCCCAATCCCTTCAATTTGAGGGGTGTACCTAACATAGTTACCCCTAAAGATGCACAAAGCACATGGGGGCCAATTTCTTGATCCACTCAGAGCAGATACATTGAAAGGAGTCTCCGTCCCTTGAAAATTCCCTTTTCAGCAATGGAGTTTAAACTTATGCTACCTTTATTTAAAAAAAAAAAAAAATGAAAGAAATGTATACATTTAGAAAGTTGTTTCTTAGGGATTTTGAGTCAGGGATGTACAGAGCTATATTTGTGTGCCCCCTAGTGGTTAAATTAATCTAATGACTGAAAGCATCACACGCTCAATAAAGCTTAGATTATTAGCTATTAAGGATGGCAGAAAGGAAAGAAATTTTTTATATATAAAATATTTTTAAAGCATTTTAGTTTCACAGCAAAATGAAAAGAAGGTACAGCCTCCATGATACCAACTTAGAAAATAGACATTTTTAAGTTACTATATATCTAGAGAGGATTTTGTTTTATTTTATCTTATTTTTTTTAAAGATTTATTTGTTTATTTTAGAGAGAGAAAGAAAGAGCACGACCGGGGGAGGGGCAGAGGGAGAGGGAGAGAGAGTCTTTAGCACACTCTCCCTGCTGAGCAGGGAGCCAAACCTGGGGCTCGATCCCAGGACCCCGAGATGATGACCTGAGCCAAAATGAGACGAGTCAGACGTTTAACCGACTGAGTCACCCAGGCGCCTCTGTAGAGAGAATTTTATGATCTACAGCTCCATTTTGAGACAATGGTTAATCCACGGCCGTTTTGACAAACGGCCAAGGCATGTGCCACTTTGACTTACGACATACTTTATTTTACATTTTAAAGATTTTATTTATTTGAGGGAGAGAGTGCACATGAGCAGGGAGAGGGGCAAAGGGAAAGGGAGAAGCAGACTCCCTGCTGAGCAGAGAGCTCAACACGGGGCTCCATTCCAGGCAGGACCCTGAGATCATGACCTGAGCTGAAGGCAGATGCTTAACCAACTGAGCCACCCAGGAGCCTCAAGACTCAGAAATATTCAAATATTCAAATCTTCTCATTTGACCATATTTGACAGAAAAAAGTATTTTTAAAGCAACTTTTGGAATGATTTGTCCTATTTAACAAAAGGTAGTGCTAATATTTTTTAAAGCAACTTTTGGAATGATTTGTCCTACTTAACAAAAGGTAGTGTTAACCCTTCAGCCCTTATTTAGACATAAAATGTGAGGGTTGTAATATTGCAATCCAAAGACCATAAAGTTATTGATATGTTTCTAATACCCCATATGGTGTATATCCTTAAACTTTACAGGTGTCCCTCGGAGATATTGCTGGTTTGGTTCCAGACCACCTCAATAAAGCTGATGTTGGAATAAAGCGAGTCAAATGAATTTTTTTGTGTTTTGTTTGTTTGTTTTGTTTTCTTGGTGCATTTAGAAGTTATGTTTACACAATACTGTAAGGCAGATGCTTAACTGACTGAGCCACCCAGGCACCCCAGACAGACCTCATACTTTAACTCAAAGATTTAAAGGTATCTTCAAAACAGCTCTTGGAAAAGCGAATACTCATCTAGTGTTCTGTATGGGGCCATGTGCTAAGTCTTTTATAGAAATTATCTCCACGGATCTTCACAAAAGTGCTGTGATGGAGATCCAGTTGTTACTGGCATTTTGCCGATGGAACCACTAAAGCAGGAAGTAGCCCAAAGACACCTGACTGGTGTCACTCAATACTCATTAAGTATGTACCTGTGCCAGATCAGAAACTGTACTAAGTGTTTTAATCCCCATGAAAACACTATGCTTACCACCGACTTAAATTGGTAAAACTCACACTCAAACCTAAACCCCCTACTCTTATGTTACACTATAAAGAAACAGAATGAACCAGCAGTCGTAAGAGAGGATCTATTTGTAAACCATCAGTTGCTGCCCTTGTGCTCTTGGCCCTGAGTGGGCAAAAGCGTTGTCTAAAGTCACTTGTAAGGCCTCCTGGGCTGGAAGTCATAGTTGACCTGGTGATGAAGAGGCTGTGGAATCCAGCTGACCGGGATCAAATTTTGGTTCTATCACTTGCTAGCTCTGTGATTGTGAACAAGTTTCTTAATCCCTCTGAGCCTCAGTTTCCTTATCTGTAAAACAAGATTATCCACAGCCTTGTATGGCTTTGTGGGGTAGGTAAAAGCATCAATTCTGGAGCCAAAGTGCTCAGGTTTGAATCCTAACTTGTGAGTAACTGTGTGACTCAAGATAAATTACTGAATCCTAAAAAAAAATAAAAAAAAAAAAGAGCAAGCACACTTGCTTTATGGCTTTGTGGGGTAGGTAAAAGCATCAATTCTGGAGCCAAAGTGCTCAGGTTTGAATCCTAACTTGTGAGTAACTGTGTGACTCAAGATAAATTACTGAATCCTAAAAAAAAAAAAAAAAAAAAAAGAGCAAGCGCACTTGCTCTCCATGGTGCACAATGGAAAGTGTGTCCTCAGCTGGACATGGCTTGCTTTTTCCTACAGACGTCAGGGCAATGTGTGACTTGGGAACATGGAAGGGACACAGCTATAGGATATAAGAGGACTCCTGAATCCAGGGGTCCCCAACCTGCGGTCTCGAGCAGGTCATCCTGCTCATGCTCCTATGTGGCCTTGGTCAATCCCCTTCATCACAGCACACTCTATCTCCTTCACCCATAAAATAAGGGGTGTTGGTGAGAAAGTCTCAGAAGATCTTTCTCAGGCTAAAATTCTCAGATTATCTTCTGTGACATCCTAAATTCAAAATGAAACGCCTCATAAGATGGATCATCAAATAAGGATGTGTTGGAAACTGTAGGAAAATGAGTGGTGGAGACATGAATCAGCCTTTTTGTAAATAATCCTCTTATGGATGAATAAGGTCCAAGATGGCTACCTGGGATCACTTAGGAGAAAAACAAAATCCTTGTTCAATATCCAATATAAATACGGTTATTTGTGTTCAAGAGTTATGCATGGGGACTTGGTAGGATGGTCAGGGGTCTGATATTAGTCCAACAACCCACAAGCCGTCGTGTTCTGCTGAGCAAGTTACAGAACAATTACAGATAGTTTATTGGTTATGTAGGAGTGTCGTGGATTGAATGGTCTCCCCCGAAAGCATATGCTGATGTCCTAAACCCTATTACCTGTGAATGTTTCCTCATTTGGAAATAGGATCTTTGCAGTTGTTAGGATGACGTCCTACTAATACAATGACAGGTGTCCTTTTAAAGGGAGGGAAATTTGGGGGCGGGCTCACAGAAAGGGAAGAAGGTCCCAAGAAGTTGGAGACAGGGACAGAACTGGTGTATGTCCACGAGTCAACGGACACCAAGCATTGCTGGCCACCACCAGGAGTTGGGACAGATGCAAAAGCAGTGAAGGATACTACCCAGAGTTTCAGAGGAAGCACGGTCCTGCCCATGCTTTGATTTTGGATTTCTGGCTTCCAGCACTGAGAGAGAACAAATCTCTGTGTTTGGAGCCACCATGCTTGTGGCGATCTGTGAAGGCAGCCCTAGCAAACTCAGGCAAGGAGTCATACGTACATCATGGTGATGCAGGAAGAAGGAAAGAAGACCCTCCGTCAAAGCTCTGGCCCGTCTTCAGGGGAAAATCCACAGAGGGATCCCTCCCAGGCTTTTCATGTTCTACTCTCAACTCAGTTTCTGTGCATGAAAATAAATCCTTTTGGTCTGCTTAACGGCTACATTAGACTACTTCCTTTCAGTGTGCTGTGATTTCATCCATTATTATTTGTCAACTATTCAATTATCCAGATTGCAATTATTTCAATTATTCGCTGCGAATTCAATCATAATTTCAATTATGATGCTTTAATGGTTGGCATTTTCCCTTTCCCAAGGAATAAGTTGGTATACACAGGACCTTACATGGAGAGTTGGCTTTGGAGAGCAGCAGAGCCGATGGGGCCAAAGGATGTGAATGCTTGTTTTCTCGCACCAAAAGGCATGTTTACATACATACTTATCACCAAGAGCAGGAAAGAAGTTAACAGACACCGTCACAACCAATGGGCATTCAGTAATCTGGAGCGGTAGACAAATCCATTGGCTCTCCAATTCCTTCCTGGAAATTTTGCAGGTGCCAACATCAGCTGATGTTGGCTGCCCAATCTCAATTGTTGCTTCTCCTTACGCCTCCACAGCTGAGGTGCTCCGCTCCGTGTCGCACAGACAGAACGGGAACACACCACAGCAAGGCTTCAGCCACGGGTTGTCGTAGTTCAATTCCGTCAACTGTTGCTGGACAGGAAGGATGCTTTTCTTGTGTTCCTTCACGGCGTTGGCCACCGTTTGGATCACTACATCAAACAAGGGCTCCGTGTCCTGCGTCAGAGGTGTGGACTCAGAGGGGTCCCTGGTGATGTCGAAGAGCAAAGGAGGGTCATGGTAGGTGACCAGGTTGCCCGAACATCGGCAATAGATAGTCTCATAGCAGGCTCCAGCTCCCAGTGGCTGGAATACGGGTGTCACGTAATGAACCTTCCACACTGCCTCACCTGGACCAGAAAAGACATGTCAGAGACATCCAACCCCTGTGCCAACTGACCTTGTGCTCAGAAGAAGTTCAGAAGAGCTTGTACTCTTCTACCTTCTCAAGCATTTGTCCTGGTCTTTCTCTTTGCCCACGAGTTAATGCTCTATATCATTCAATCTTTAGAACAATACTAAGAAATCAGAATCATGTAGTACAACTTGACGTTTGGAAGCATCCATTCGTTCTGCTTCTCAAAATGCATATTTCTTCAAGACATCCCCCCGCCGTTCTAAACAGAGTGGTTCTTGGGAAGTTTTCCAAGAAGGTATTTTCAGTGGTCACCCCAGAATAAAAGGACTGGTCTGGGGGTGAGGGGGAGGGAGAAAGGAACAAAGTGTTGAGCATGGACTTGAGCGACTGTGACCTTGGCATCCGCAGATACTCACTGTCCTTGGGGTGCCAGCGCACAGCGTGGAGAAACGCGCCACAGTAATGGAACAGGAACTCATGCTCCGAGCGCTGCACTTCACCCTGAAGCAAGGGCATGAGGTTCCGGCCATCAATCACCCTGCAGACACACACAAAGGACATCAGGTGAGGGAGGTGGGCCAGCGAGCTGTTGGAGGGATGCTCCATGCATTCCATGACATTTCCTGGACCCAGAGCACAGTGTGCTGACTGTTCCAGAAATCCATGCACACTGTCAGAGACATTACATTCTCATGCGAAAGACAGGAAACAAACAAACAAACAAACAAACAAACTCTAAGCTTTTGCAGTGAAATGACAAGACAGAGGAATGCGTCAATGTGTGTCCATCTAAAGAGCACTTAGGTCCCTGGCCACAGAAGTTCTCAAAAGCTCAGTGTTCCTGATGACTTCACAAATCAAAATTTCATCTGCAGTTGCCTTGCTACCCTGAAACATGATCTTGTAGAACCTCTTAGGGGCGTTTGGGTGGCTCAGTCGGTTAAGTGTCTGACTCTTGATTTCAGCTCAGGTCATGATCTCAGGGTTGTGAGATCAAGCCCTGCATCAGGTTCCGGGCTCAGCATGGAATCTGCTTGAGATTTTCTCTCTCCCTCTGTCCCTCCCGCTCTTTTGTGTGCTCTCTATAAATAAATAAATAAAATCTTTAAAAAAAAATGAACCTCTAAAAATCTGATGCTTTTTAACTTATATTAGAAAACAGATCTTCTCCCTCATGTTAGAAAAAAATAAAACCTACCTTGTAATAAAAAATACAATAATAGGTGTCACATCATCCTAAAAATGATAGTAAAAGAAATAACATTGTCTTTATTCTCAGATACAATGATCGCCTGTGTTGATAATCCCTTAAAAATCTATGCAACTAATTAAGTTTGGTAAGGTCACCAGTATAGAATTTTATCTCTGTATCTTAGCAATGAACAACCGGGAGTTACATTTTTTAAAAATACCATTTACTACAGCACCACAAAACATGAAATATCGAGGGGTACCTTTTTCTAATACTAAAATTTTGTGTGCTGAAGCCACAAAACATCTGATAAGAGAACTGAAAGGAGAGAGAAACAATGGTCATAGATTGGAAGACTCAACATTGTTAAGATCTTGATTTTCAACAAGGCAATCTATAGATTTAATGTAATCTCAGCCAAAATCCCAGACGGCTTTTTTGTACAAAGTGAGAAATGTATTCTAAAACTGACATGGGAGAACAATCTGGAATAGCTTAAATTATTTTGAAAAAGAAGAAAGTAGTTTGAGGATTCAACTAAATAGTTCCAAAATTTACCAAAATTTAGCAAGGGTAATCAAGCCAGTGTAGTATGGTCATAAGGGTGCGCATAGGAATCAGTGAAACAAGAGAGTCCAAGAAACAGACTAATGCATATATCAAGCAAATGATTTTCAACAAATGTCCAAGGTAATCCAGTGGAGGAAGGACAGTCTTTCCTTAAATGGCACTAGAACAACTGAATATCCAAATGCAAGAAAAATAAAGCTCAACCCATACCTCACACTGCATAAAAAATTAACTCAATACGGACCATAAGCCTAAATGTAAAACCTGAAACTAAAGAAACCACCAGAAGAAATCATAGAGGAAAATCTGTGTGACCTTTGAGTAGAAAAATACTTTTTAAAAATATTACAAAAATCACAATCTATAAAAGAAAAAAGTAAATTGACCCTTATCAAAACTGAAAATGTCTGCTTTTCAGATAATAATGTAAGAGAATGAAGGCGGGCCAGAGAATGGAAGATACGATTGACAAAACACAGATCTGATAAGGAACTTGTGTTCACAATATGTAAAGAACTCTTACAATTCAACAATAAGAAAATAAAATTCCCAATGTAAAAAAGATTACGGACAGATGATTTGAATAGAAATTCACAAAGAAGGGACATGGATGGCCAGTACACGGAGAGGTGTTCAACATCATTTGTCACGAGGGAAACACATTCTAACACCACCATGAGATTTGCCTACACAGTTACTATAATGGAAGATGGAAAAGAGTGACCATACCAAGTGTGACCAAAGATGTGGAGCAACTGGAAATCTTACACGTCACTGGTGGGAATGCCAGATGGGGCAGCCGTTTTGAAAGTCAATCCAAATTTCTCATAAAAATATATCAACAGTATATCAACACATATTGATAAAATGACCCAGATTTACCACTCTTGGGCATTTACTGCAAAGAAATAAAGCACTGATGTCTACACAAAGACCTCTATGAAAATGTCCAATGCAACTTTAATCATAAGAACCAAGTTTGCTTTTAGAATCTCATGGAGTCCTTCACCTCAGTTGTCCTTAAAGAATAAAAAAAATATGGGGAATAAAGATAGGACATTTTTAGAGCTAATTCTGAAAAAAATAAAAACCAGATCAATTCTATGAAAGAAAATCCTAATCAGAGCTCAGAGGACAATATTTCTTGAGATCATAATTCTGCATAACCTTTTGTGAGTCCAATATATAAAGTATAGTAATGTCCCAAAGTCAGTGAACCCCACTGATGGAGCGGAAAGTTATTTTTATGACTATGATTGGCTCAGTTTAAAAAAAAGTAGATTTCCACTAATATTACTATTTTTTTAATAGGTCATTTAGCTGAAATTGATAAATACACTTCTTAGTAGAGGGGACTTGCATTCTGTTGTTATTCTATATAAATTCTCAATAAATCCTATGATTTGCTAAAAAGAAGGTAAGAAGAAAAAACAGTGAGGAGGTCTTTCTTTGTCGCTGTTTCTGATTTGCTTCGGGATGCATTCTATTTTGCTTCAGAAAGAGATGAGGTCCCTTGCATGAAGAAGAACACATGAGAATCTGTCTTTGGACTTACAAGGGACACGTGGCAGTGGGTTAGAGCCGCTGGAATAAGCTTATGAAGAAGTCACCCGCAAGCCTGCCTTGGTCATTCGCTCCCAGGGAGTGGCGCCATGCGATATGAAGGCTCTCCTCTTGCTCAAATTCAAAATAGTCACAACAGAGTTCTAAGGACCCATGGAATGCCTTACCTTCACGTCTGCCTTCTGGATCTTGCACAATAGAGTGCAGCAAATCGTTTCTTCTCTTGCATGAGCATTTTGCCCACCACAACTTCATCTCCAATCTCCCTCTGTCCATTTTCCTCCCCAGAGGAGGCCATCCAGTGTCTGGGATGTGCCATAGTCATTTAAGACTGTTGTCTGCCACACCAATAACGCTCAGTAGACCTAGCCAGAGATGAAGCTAAACTTCCCTAGGTACTGGGGACAATGCCCAACCCGTTAAGATAGACTTTGTTGCCTTTGTCCCGAATGCTCTGAGAACAAAGATGATGTGAACGGAGGGTGTGACATCACCTGTCCTGAGGGACCATGCCTCCCGACATAGCCGCTAGCGTGGGGAACACGTCCATTAAACTTGTAGGTTCCTCAATCATTTTCCCAGCTGGCAATCTTCCCGGCCAGCGGATAAGTCCTGGGACACGGATTCCACCTTCCCAGCCGGCCATGCCTTTCCCACCTATAAGGTGAGGTAACAGAGTGCCAGTTAAAATGGTCACGGTAGCAAGACTGCGTAGAAATGTAAATGAGTATCAATGCAGACCATGTGCTCAGAGCCCACCCCATACAGAGTCCTGCAGAACGTGTCCGTGGATTTACTTTTCCCTGGGCTGCTGATAGGTTTTTAATGGACTAACTAATCGTATTCTGTGTGCAACATTTGTACAGGCTATTTTGTCTGCCTACAACACTGTTACCCCACAAATACACCTGCTACGTCCCCAGCTGCCTTTATACGTTTGCTCAAAGGTACTTTCTCGTTGGCAAACTTCCTTTAAAATGACAGTCCCCCCGCCCACCCCAGAAGTTTTTCTGCTCTTCTTTCTTTTTTTTGGAGATTTTTACTATCCTCTAACATATCATAGAATTTACATATTCTCTTTTTCCTGGTGTGCCTCCCTCCGCTAAAATGTAAGTTCCATGAAAGCACCGATTCTTTGGTTTTGTTCCCTACTGAATCCAGCACCCTGAAAACAAACTGAATAGAATAGTATACGTATATGCTAATTTATTACCCCAAACCAGGGTATTATAGAGCATGTACCCAGGAGGCAACAATGACCCTAAGACAAGAGTTATAAACTAGGGTTCCCTTGAGCGAACCAGGAGGAAAGGCCATTCTATGGTTTTAATGGAGTTTTATTAGTTCATTAAATTACTTAAAGTGGAGTTTCAATCACAGCACATGGAGAAATGGAGATTTTTAAAAAGATGTCTTCCTAAGAATGAAGGGGGGGAAATTGGAGGGGAAATGAACCATGAGAAGTGATGGACTCTGAGAAACAAACTGAGGGTTCTAGAGGGGAGGGGTGTGGGGGGATGGGTTAGCCTGGTGATGGGTATTAAAGAGGGCACGTTCTGCATGGAGCACTGGGTGTTATGAACAAACAATGAATCATGGAACACTACATCAAAAACTAATGATGTAATGTATGGTGATTAACATAACAATAAAAAATTAAAAAAAAAGATGTCTTCCTAGGTAAAAATAGAGTTCAATAAGAACACTTTCCCTTATAGGATTTATTTGCTTTCCTAAGTATGTACTTTACTTGTAGAAGCCCTAAAAAAGCAGACATCCATGCCCTGTGGCCAGACTGAGGCAGAGACTATCCCATTCATGCAACAATCATTATTTCCTACTGAATCTATATTATCATTATTCATGCAAATCTAGGCTGGGTTGTTTTGCATTCAGTGGCAAAACATGAATATTATATTTTCCTCTGGAAAAAACTTTGACATGTCTTCCAATAGATAGGGTAGCATGCACTGAACATTTTCCAGATAATTTTCTTACCACATCAAGGTGCATACTATGGACCAGGCCAATGTGGTGGCTAACGGAACACGTTTTCATGCACTAACTGCCACGCCCGGACATGGGGCTGGTATCTGTGCATTTAATTATAAAACCAGACAGAGGCTTGCTACTTTGTGTGCTAAGCCATATCCTCACAAGAGGGCACCCAAGCTTCCTTAATCATCAAAGACCCTCTGGGTTTCATACTCTGTACTCTGCCTACCACGCTGAATCTTCTATCAACAGCCTTGTACATGGAATCATTGAGTAGGTAGATATTCAACTCAAAAGCATGTGGTTATGTTGATGCTTTATCATCTCGCAGGGTGGCCATGGAGGCAGATTTCTAGATGCACCTTCAGCAGAAGGGCTAGCCTCCCCCATAATGTATCATTGGTTACTCACTCCACTTTATTTTACCCAGAGTCAAATAAAATGCACTTGTTCACTTTTTCACAGGTTCGTCTGTTCACTTCATGGATGCCCATTATCATGAACATGGGAGAATTTATTCACAACCATACCTGACTCCCGATTCCCACTCCTCACCTTTGTATATTCCGTTCCACCCGCCACGCTGGGAATGGCCCACCCGTGCCTCCAAATGCCCCCCGTGGTCTGATGTAAAGTAGACAAGCGTGTGGTTCCTCAGACCAAAATCATCGATGGCACTGAGAATCTTGCCTGAAATAGTAAAAAAAAGGGACACATATCATGAATGTCATCATGAGCTTTGGGTTATAACGCCAGTCCGACTTGTGGTGCATTTCACTACAAAACTCTTTCTCATCCACGAAGCACCTGCTTCCGGTGGGTGGTGTGTGAGCTCAAGAATAGCCACGTTTTCTGAATTCCTCATCAGTGCCTCATGTTGGACAGATGATTATATTAAATTAGGAGTGAAAATGGATTCATTCTTTACGATTTTACTAGTATTCATTGTTACACTACTATTGCCTAATAATCATTTATTTTTTATTGTCTTATTATGTGGACACCAACATTTATACTTTTAACTTATAAGTTATATTGAGCTTTTGCTGATTTTTCTTTTGGGGGTTTCACTGTTTCTGTTCTCGATTTATACAGACTCCTTTATTAACGAATGAAAGCATGTTATATCGTTGCTAAAAGCTCCTCTGCAAGGAGCATCAGGTGAGCTGTTCATGATGCAGACTTGTGGTATTTCAGGAAGTTTCGAGGTCTCTGCCTCTCTTGTGACTTCAATGTGTTCTAGTAGCTCTGCGCTCACGTGGTCTCCTCATCCGTGTATGCATCTGGGCTTCACAAGGCAGACGGGTCTTCTGTGGTATGCCTGTGTTCATGCTTCTTGTCTTCTTGCACGCATTAGGCATGCAAGGCATTAGGACCCACACTAATGACCTCACCGTAACCTGATCCCATCTGCAAAGGCCCTATTTCCAAATACTGTCACATTCACAGATTCCAGGAGTTAGGACGTGGACCTTTCTTTTGGGGGACACAATGAAACCCCCAACACCGACTTTGCCCAAGATATTCCAACCCTGCCACTCTGAGTTAATTTCCTCCCCGCTGCGTTCTCCTCCTCACTGGACCGTCTCCACGGCCACCTATTTCTGCTTCCCTGATCTGAAAGTCAAACCTTCTGCATGTAGTTTAGTGTTTTAAGTTCTATTTTTTTTTTTTTTTTTAGATTTTATTTATTTATTTGACAGCGAGAAGAGAGGGCACCAACAGGGGGAGCGGTAGACAGAGAAGGAGAAACAGGCTCCCCTCTGAGCAGGGAGCCCAACACGAGGCTTGATCCCAGGATCCTGGGATCATGACCTGAGCTGAAGGCAGATGCCTAACCAACTGAACCACCCAGGCGATCCTTAAATTCTATTTTTGATAAGTCTTTCTTTGCAACCACGCAAGTGCATCTTGATCCTTTCTCTTAACTGGACTCCCATCAGATGTCCTTGGGCAGTTTCGTTTCTTATCACTTTGTTCCCTTCTGTGTACTTCATCATCATCTTGGTAAGGCGGGCTCCCCAGGTAAGAGTAATGGATACTTTCATTAGAATCACGTTAAGCCTCGATATTAATTTTGGAATCACTAATATTGTATGAGTCACCGTTCCCATCCAGAATCTGGTATATTTCTATTTACTGAAGTCTTCTCTAAGGACTCAGTTGTGTTCTATGCGATCACTTACTTTTTGAACATATTTCTATATATTGATTGTTGATATTGGAGCTGCTATGAATAATACCCTATCACTTACTGTATCTTGAAATGGGTTATTTTTAACATAAAGAAAAAGTATTACTTTTGGTGTATATTTCTAACAGAGAAACGTTGTAGGACATATATGTTTGTGCATATATATTAAGCTATATATATATATAAGCATAATAAACTAATTATAACATTACACTAATTCCATACTAGGAGCATACTGCATAATTATATCAATAACATGTATTATCTCAATGCCTATATTATTATTTATATTATTGCTATAGTATATACTTATATAGCATGCCCTGTAACCTTGAGCAAGCCCCCAATAACTTGTACCCTTGTTCCCTCAACTGCCGAGAGGGATAACAATGCTGAGTATGGTCCCCATCTCCTAGAATGTTTATGGGGAACCCTCCAGAACACACTTGGAACAGTGCATGCCCCATGCATCAGAGGGTTCATTCAATCAATAGATCCCACTGTTTAACGGTTAAAAGGGCACTTTAACAAATGCATCTGTATGATATCCCAATCAGGAATCCATAAAACTTTCTAACAAGGACAGCAGCAATTTCCAAGACTTGGGGTTTTGTTTTAGCTTCCCAGGTGGATATTTTGGAGAAAAATAAACGTTTTAGTGTTTCTGAAATTACACATCGAAACAGATGATCATTTTTCCTGAAAGCTCAGTTCCAACTGGACGGACAACACATTCACAGCCCATAGGTACCAAAGGTCTGTGAACCTCAGGGACACTCTTTCAAAATATGGCTTTCAAATACCCTGGCTTTTCCGCAAATATTCAGCACACCCATGGATAGCTGTGTCATTACTGAACAGCACGGAAAAAATCCCATGGAGATCAAACCGCACCCAAAGCCCCTTATTTGGTGTCTTAATGCCACACCGTCTGTTTTATTAGCTTAGATATTTTGAAAACCTTGTCTTGATTTAAAATTTTAAAGCAAATAGAATTCAGTTTTATTCTTTGTTTGCCTGTTTTTACTGATCACACCCGCTACACACACTACACACCCAGACACACACACACATAATGCCTTAAGTATAGACATATGTGCCTATGTTTCATTAAATAGTATTTATATTTAAAATAATTTTTAGAGGTGCCTAGGTGGCTCAGTCAGTTAAGCATCTGCCTTCAGCTCAGGTCATGATCTCGGGGTCCTAGGGTCAAGCCTGGCGTTGGGCTCTCTGCTTAGCGGGGAGTCTGCTTCTTCCTCCCACTGCTCTTCCTCTCTCTCTCCCCTTCTCAATAAATAAAGTCTTTAAAAAGTAAAAAAAATATTTTGAAATGTTTTCTGTATCTTTAAGACTGCGAATTGACAATATTTTATTGGCTTCCCTTTGGTCAGGATTGAATTCTTTTTTTAATAAAGATTTTATTTATTTATTTATTTATTTATTTATTTATTTATTTATTTATGAAAGAGAGAGAGTGTGCAGGGGGAAGAGCAGAGGGAGAGGGAGAAGCAGATTTTGCATTAAGCACACAGCCCAAAGCAGGGCTTGATCCCAGGATCTCGAGATCATGACCTGAGCCGAAACCAAGAGTCAGGCATGCAACCTATTGAGCCAGCCGGGTGCCCTGGTCAGACTGGATTTCTAAAGCCTCTCTCTGCTTACTAAAATCCATTCCCTGACAAGTTCCTACGTTTGGAGATGATTGTAACCCAAAGCTTCTGTCCTGCCAACACACAAGGCCAGCATCATGTTCTTTTCTGTCTTCCTTCTCAGAAAACTTGAGTCTGATTTGCTAATATATGTATCATGGAAACTCGGGGACTCACAGGGACAGGGCAAGCATTGAGCGTGGTTTTGTGCCGACTTTGTTGCAGGCTTCCACCTGCTACTTCATTGAGGCTGCCTGGGGTGGGGAGGGATGTGTCTGGACGTCCTGAACTATTAAAGCACAGACTTCTGGTCTCCATAGGTCCCGCCACTTACCAACCATGGAGTCCATCTCCTGCACGTTGTCCCCATATAAACCATACTTGCTGGTCCCGATGAACTCAGTTGTCGTGGGGAGCGGCACATGTACATGCAGAAAGGAGAACACAAGGAGGAAAGGTCCTTCGCGGTGCCTGGGGAGACATCAATCATTCCGCTTATGAGTCTGCAAAGTCTGCGAAAGGGAACCACACCATTTTTTGTCGCACAGACCCAGTGTCCACTCATTATTTGCATGCCCCAGGAGAGGGGATGAAAGCCTGAGACAGCCCCTTGGAGAGAACATCCTGGCTGGGGTGGATGCCAACATCCTCCAACATCTGGACCGCTCCCCAGGACATGTGTGGGATGGCTCGATTCTTGAGTGGCCCCGCCTGGCACAACGCAGCTCACAAGCCCATTCAGCTCTGCTTGGCACACTTTTCTCATGGCTGATAAAGTCTCAGGCTGGAGTCACACCAAGGGATCGTGGCTCAGGAGTGGTTTCTTAGAAACGCCAACTCTTTCACAACTCCCAAGCAAGCATGGACAGAACAATCTGGGCAAGCTGTCTGCATACCTTCAAGTCTCCTGGGAGGACACAGGAAATGAGGTTGACCCATTTCAAGCCCTGACAAGGTAGGTCATCAGCTAACTAGGGCAGCACACAACACAAATGCCACTCTTAGGGAAATTTCTTCTCTGATGACATATGAAAAAAAGTTGGGTCATGGTGAGCTGGGTTTAATGGCATCCCTTCAAAACTGGTGCCTACCTAGAGGCTCAGAATGTGATCTCATTTAAGAATGGGGTCTTTGGAGATGTAATTAGTGGAGAGGAGGTCATCCTGGGGTAGGGTGGGGCCAGAACCCAAGAACCGGTGTCCTTAAAAGAAAAGGATGGTCTGCACGCGGTACTGAGGATTGAGATTATATGGATGTTGCTTAATGTTGCAAAAGGAAATTTGCAGATGGGATTAGGTTCAGGATCTTGAGATGTGGAGATAATCCTGGATTATCTGGTTGTGGACCCAATGCAATCACAAGGGTCCTTGTAAGAGGGACCCCAATACAGTAAAAATCAGGCAAAAAATAGTGTGGATAGGAGGTAACAGAACCAGTGATGCAGCCAGACAGCTATATATCAAGGAAACCCTGCAGCCTTTCCAACGTGGGACAAGAAATGGACTCTTCCTTAGAGCTTCCAGAATGAGCTAGTCCTGCCAATGCCTCACTTTTAGCCCTGTAAGATGAGATTCAGATTCCTGACTTCCAGCACAGTAAAATAATAAACTTGTGTTGCTTTAAGCCACTCCCACTTGCAGAAATCTGTTCTAGCAGACACAGGAAACTCACACACCAAGAATCCAGATAAAAGCAATTTCTAGCATCCATGAACCTAAGCCACTTGCTCGTGGCCACATCACTAATCAATGGAGTAGCTTCCAAATCTTCGGAGTCCCTGTTCCCTTTCCACATGGTGCCACTGTGGATCATATAGACATATAGACATCAACACAGGTTTTGGTGATGGAAGCACATTTTCACACCCCAGCATTTGTTCTTGATGTACTAATGTAAACAGTAAGCAACAACGTGTGCAGGTGTCTTCAGACACATTTTATTGTGTCCCTTTGCAAAGAATCTGCACCTCTGTACATATGGAAGTTTCCAGGAAATGAGTTTGCCCTAAAAGAAACCAGCCATTCCATTGCATCTACAAGGCAAAGGTGGTTTAATCTCTCTCAGAGTCTAAATTTGTATTGTGCCCACCTTGGCTATAAGGTAAAGACAAAGCTAGCTACAGATTGCCCAAGATCCTTTGCACCACTAAACAACTCTACTTGCCAGTCAAACACACCAGCTTACAAATCCCTACCGCCAGGATGATCTCATCCTCACAAATTCCACCTCTGAAGACCCTATTCCCAAATAAGATCACTTTCTGAGCTTCCAGGTGGACATAAATTTTGGAGGGATGCCATTTAACCCAGCTCACCATGGTACAACTTTTTAAAAAAAATTCTTTTTTTCCCATTCTTTTCATTTTGATATCTCATCAGAGCAGAAATTTTTCAGAGTGGCATTTGCATTTTCTGCTGTCCTCGTTAGCTGAGGACCTATCTGCCTTATGCTTGAGTTTCATGTAGTAATGCCTGGTACCCGTTCTTCATCTTGTTCTTGCTCACCTTTGAAGATTCAGTTAACGTATGTTCTCAAGGACGGCTTCCCTGATATCTTGGAAAGTCTCTACAGTTTGGACTGATAGCACCTGGATTTATGCCCATTAGCTTATTTCTTTTTCCTTTTTTTTTTAAGATTTTATTTTTTTATTTAATTGACAGAGAGAGAGAGAGAGAGGGGGGGAACACAAGCAGGGGGAGTGGGAGAAGGAGAAGCAGGCTTCCCGCCGAGCAGGGAGCCCGATGCGGGGCTCGATCCCAGGACCCCGGGACCATGACCCGAGCCGAAGGCAGTCGCCCAACCAACTAAGCCACCCAGGCGCCCCCATTAGCTTATTTCTTATCATGGGCTTGTACATCTCTTGTCATTACTAACTGTGAACTTGTCTTTGAAGTCCAGACCCCAGGATGGTGATTGGTAAAGGTAAAGCCTTGGGCAATGCTGAAATGGTGAGTAAAAAATGTGTTCACAGCCTTTTAAAAAAATGCAACAACTGGAGGCCCATAAATGTGACTCCTTTGGAAAGTTTCCAGCAATTATGTTCTGGATGCATTGGGCTTTATAATTATCACCACTGATATCAGCCGAACAATATCCCTTACATACCTCATGCTTAACGATAAGCCCTCTGATTTTGATTTCTCAAAGAAGTTTCTTTCCTAGTAGGAAAACAGTACAGTGGTCAACTTATTCTACTATCTAGTTTCCTGGAAAATACATTTCCCATTGTGCATTAATAGGCAGACAGTATGCACATAAATGCATATGCATATGCATTATAAATTAACAAGCCAGTTTTGTAATTTTGAGTCTAGTGTGAGTCTACCTGCTTGGTCTGACCAAATATGAATTTCAAGACCAATGGAGAAATTGTGATTTTTAATAACAAGAACTCAAACGAGATAGCCCTCCTTAGGTACTGCACGAAGAGTCCGGCTTGCCTCCAAAACATATGGTATTGTATTGTCTAGCCCTAGCTAGTAATATTCCATTTCTTAATTCAATATTGTTCAAATCAACAGCTTTTACTTTAAAAAAAAAATGCTCATTGTGTCATGTTTTTAAAAGAGTCCTGTCTTTAAAATACTGTGTCTTAAATCCATTAAGATACATGGATTTTTTTTTTTATGTGAATTACCTTTACCTTTCCATAAATGAAATCGCCTCCTTCACCATGATGGAGCCAGCTCGCTCTGCCTTCATGGGCTGTTCGGTGATGTCGTGCTCTCTCATTAGGAGGCAATCCCAGTACAGAGGAGATGTGTAACTGGAGAACCAAAAGTAGCCCAGCAGAAAAATAAAAAGAATCATAGAGAGGATGAGGGACCAGGGAAGAGAGATCAAACCGCTCAGTTTCGCCAAGGTGAGAGTGAGTGCAGCAATGGCAACCAGCTGCACGCAAAACCAGATTTTGTTCTCGATGGCTAATTCTGTGTCACGAGAGGGATCTTGCCAGCAGGGGTCGATCAGAGTGAATGGCATGCCATAGAAGTAATCAAACCCATAATGATATGGATGATGGCACTGGTCATGTCGGGACTGGCAGTTTAAGCCTTCATGCCATTTGCCTGAAATTACAAAGAGACAAATAAAGCATAGTATGCTCGCACACCATGAAGACCACGTCAGTACTCTTCCTTCAAAACGAATGACTTGTGCACAAAAATGGAGCAGCAAATAGTTTTCTTTTGCCTAAAAATCTGAGTTCAGTCAGCACCCAATTCGTCTTTTGCTCTCCTATAGTTCACAGAAATTTGTGTTAGGATCTGGTTGTGAGTGACAAGATAGGATGAAAAATCAAGGGGGGAAAATACAGTTGTGAGTTTGTAGTAAGGATGTAAACTGGGCAGTTTCTCATTCACAGAAAGAAAAAAATCATAGCAACAAAGATAAATACATGACAGAGACAGGGTAGATTATATGTGGTGGATAGATAGGTGAGTAGGTAGATAATTGATATTACATAATGAGATGTATATGATATAAGATGGATGGACAACAGGGAGTATGGATAGATGATAGATAGACAGATGATAGATAGATGGTAGATAGATAGATAGATAGATATGGATGAATGATGGAGGATGGATCAAGCATGGATGATAGATGATTGGATCGTTTGCTGGATGGAAATCCCAGGTCTCCTACTAAAGCTCACTGAACTTTATTTGATAAAACTGGCCACACCTTGAAGAGTAACGAAAAGACCCATGGGCATCCTGTTGGCATGTGGACTCTAAGGCAGTATGATCGTGTGTATCTACTAAAACATGAATGGTTCCCTGCGTGGAGTTAGGACCACATGAGGGATGCATGTACTCATATCTCTGAGCACCTGAGGGGGTAAACAGATGAGAAGCAAGGCTATGGCCCAGGTTTTTCTGTCCTGCACCTCCACTAAGATTGTCTTCTCTTATCAATGTGAAATTGGCTACAAAAATTGATTTAAAATGGTGTGTTATGGGAGAGATGGGGTGGCTGGGTGATGGACATTGGGAATGGTATGTGTTGTGGTGAGTGCTGAGTCTTGTGTAAGACTGATGAATCACAGACCTGTACTCCTGAAACAAATATTACATTATATGTTAATAATAAAAAAATGGAAAAAGTGGAAGAAACTGAGGTCCTTGAAATAATTGTTGAACCCCAGAATTAACCAACTCTGGAATGGCCCTACCCCAGATTTATTTTATGTGAGTTAATAAACGCATCAATGGCTTGAAAAAAAAATAAAAAAGCAAACAGAAACAAAAAATAACAAAAGTAGTGAGAGGGTACCAGTCTGCCATATTTTAAAATAATTAATAAAACAGCAAATGTATTTAGCCCCCCCAAAAATAGTAAAATAAAATGACATGTTATTTTCATGCCAATTGAAACCCAGGCTGTGAAATGGGGACAGTAAGTTTAGCTTCCAATGAGTCATCATTGGTTGACATCTATCATCTTTGGCAGTGAGAAAAAAGACATCCGTACAACATCCATGGTTCCATTTTAATGAAATAATGAGGTGGGCAAGAGAACTTATATTGAGAAAATATTCAAGCACAGAGATGCTGAATATTTGGACAAATTTGATTTTATTGTGCAACATTTGCATTAAAACATCTCATGTGTCTCAGCCTTGGAAAGAAACAATTTCCCTATCTTTGAAATTATTCTCAGACACCCCTTCTGCCTGTAAGTTACCAATGATTGCATCAATGGGCAATGCAATTAACTAGGGGTCATGATCATTACCATCCCAATGCAATGCAATCGGGGGACTAAATGCGGACTTAATCATTGCCAAAGGGAGCAGCATAGTTTTCTCCTCTGCATTGACTCTCTTGAGCTGTGGGAGCAGTGAAAGGAGGAGCTAACCCAGGCGGACAGACTGGAAGCGGCCAACGGAAACTTTCTAAGGCAACTGAAATGCTCCTTATCTTGATCTAGGTGACAGATACAGGGTGTAGACCTTTTTCAAAAGGTGTTTTTTTTTAAATACATTTTTTTTTTCTATTTGGGTGTTGGATATATGGTGGAGACAAAAGTTGACACTCCGCAAGAAGTTAATGATGCATAAAGCTATTTGTGTGTTCTTGAGAGGGCTCGTCACATTTCTTAAATCATACATGGTGAATGAGATGAAGGATTTCAGAGTCAGCAGAGAATAATGTAGTAAGACCATCATAGTATGGTGGGTTCTATGCAAAGATGAAGAACACAGGGTGATACAGAAACACATGGGGTGGCCATCTGGCAAGGTCTGGGGGTCAGGTGGGAAGGGGCCTCCTGTTGTGCCTGAATTATGTCTGAAAAGGATAAACAGGTGCCATTTAGGAAGGAGGGTGTGTGTGCGAGTGTGTGTTGGATGGGGAGGGTCATTCTGATAGTGGGTCCCAGGTGAGCAAAACACAACAATGAAAGAGAGTTCTGGAGGACATGGGGGACACGTTTACTTGAGAAAGACCATATAATATATTAAGCAGATTAATGTTGAAAAGTAAAGAGAAAGGTCAGAGGTGGCCAATGAAGTGGCAGATGTAGAGCCTACATCATATGGAGGGTCTTCTCTGCCATAGCCAAGATGCACGCTTATTTTGAAATAAAGGATTTCCAAGGAAAGCATGTCAAGTAGAGAATACAGGGGCACCTGGATGGTGCAGTCAGTTAAACATCAGACTCTTGGTTTCCGCTCAGGTTGTGATCTCAGGGTTGTGAGATCAAGCCCTACGTCGGGCTCCATGCTCAACCCAGAGTCTGCTTCAGATTCCCTCTCCCTTCCCCTCTGCCCCTCCCACTAGTGCTCTCTCAAATAAATGAATAAATCTTAAAAAAAAGAATAGAACAACACATATTATCTCTTTATAGTAAATAAGTCATGCCTTTGGCCACTTGTTACCTATGACCGCCGTGCTGTATCCTTGCTTTTTCAGTAAGGCTGCAAACGTCGTCTCGTTATGAGGGAGTCCAGCCGGGGCTCCAAGTGTGATGATGACACGGTCCACTATACTAGAAACCATTCCTAAGTGGGATGGAAAAACAAAACCAAAAAATAATAGAACACACACAGTAGATGAGTAGATGCCCATCAGCTGACGAGGAAGTGAGTTATGGAGGGTTCAGGAGCTGGAAGGTGCAAGTGTAACAAGTGAGGAACAGAAAATCATCCTGCAGGGGAGGAAAATTGTGTTCCCCAGACAGAACTCACACTGGTCCCCACTACAGACCCCTTTACAAGCTTGCATGCATACATGCAACACTACCAGACACGCACAAACACACCATTCAAATAGTGGTCTACACATAGCCTCCAGCACGTTTATGATGACACAGGGTGTCATTTCAATAGACACTGGCGATTGAACATCTAACACAGGCTATCCTTGGCGGGGGAATCACCGTATTGGAAAAAGAGCCAAAAAATGAAATCTCGTGAAAATTTCAAACCCTACTGTTTTGATAATGGATTCTTTTTCTGACAATAGGTTGTAGTTGTATTTGTACAAAAGATGGCTAAGCCAAGTGTCTGTCAAAAACATTGACATTGGGGCATCCGGGAAGAGTGGACACATAATTTTTGAACATCTCCATTCCTTCCCAAAAATAGAGCAATAAGAAAAGAAAACTGCTCATCCATGGACATCACTAACGACAAATCTAGGTGACAGGTAGATGGGGACATGTCAACCACAAGCCCAAGACCTACATTCTACAGAAAAGAAGCAGAAAAAAACAAACCAGTTTCTGAAGGATCCAGTAACCAAAGAACCTCAGAATAGCCATCAGGTGTTCCCCTGAAGAGAAGCAAAAACAGAAGGACTTTTCCCAGTCCTACTGCTAGTGATTGAAGGTTTCTGGGTGTATTGAAAATGTTGGAGCAATCCGGCCTGAAGAACTCCCTAAACCGACCTATCCTGGTTTCCTTCCAAAATGGCAGCCCAACCTTGAAGCAAAATCTGGGAGTGGAGAGGAAATTGAATAAGACAGGACAAAGTGGGTGAAAAGAAAGAGAAATTCTAGATAAAAGCAAGAGAGGCAATTCAGGTGGAAACTTTCAGAGTGGGAGCTCCCACTGTTTAAATCCGAGATACAAGGAGGCAAGAGAAAAGTCTTTCAAGTTAGATTTGGTAACCATCCCCTCTACACGAAACCATCTCCTTCGAAATGTTAGGGAAGCTAGTTTTACATACAGTGAGCAGCACAGGAAAAAAAAAGGAGTCAAATCACCTATAAGTTTACTATAAGAAAAAAAAAGAATAAAGAATTTAATGTTTACCAGACCTGATTCACCTTAGCACCAGCTAAGCAAGATATCATCAACCTCACGGGATGCAAAAGGTTACGTGACACCCTCAAGGAGCTGGGCAAGGGGCTTCTCGAGCTTGTCTGAGAATTGGACATAAACCCTGACCTAAGAATTGTATGCTCTGCTTCCTCTTAAACTACAGAATCTATGCCCATAAACCATGGCCGGTCTGATCACCCTTGAAAATATAACCATATGGCCCATCCATTCCACCCCTTGGTATGTATCCAAAAGACCTGAAAATACATGTTGAGTCAAAGACATGTATGGGCAGGTACACGGCAGAACTATTCATAACAGCCTAAAGCCAGAAGCAATCTAATGGTTGGTCAATCGAGGGATGAATAAACGAGACATATTACAACCATACAATGGTTAAAATGTGTGATAAATGTTTGAGACATTCTGGCAGGTCCTCCTCATGACACCCCAAATTAATGCAGATGCACCTTTTTAATTACTTCCTTCCAAGACAGCTTCTCATTCTTGCCCTAGGATGGAAAGTCCCACCTAGCCTGATCACAGGACACTCAGGATACACAGTCAGCATGGGGTGAATAGACATAGCCGTGCGCGTGTGCGTGCATGTGTGTGTGCGTGTGTTTGCACTTTTTTGGGGCAAATTTTTCGAAATGGACTAGCTACATTTTCATTTCCTCAAATCCTAATGTGTTCGCAGAGGGTAACAGAGGATGGTCCATCTACACACCTGATCGGATGGGGTATCTTCCCGTGAGGAAGGCAGCCCGGCTTGGGGTGCACATGGAGGCTGCAGCGATGTTGTGATTCAGCTGCACTCCTTCCCTGGCTAGGCGGTCGATGTTAGGCGTCCTGGAAAGAGAAACAGAAACAGAATTGCAGAGAGGAGGAGGGGAGACACAGAGGCAGAAACCAACACCTCTGTTTACGATGATTCCCTGAGCTCAGAACAGGAGAAAAAGAAACTGCACACAGCGCCCTATTTCCTTTTTCTCCCCACATCATGGAAAAAATACAGCTGAGGTTTTAGGTACTGGCAGTCTATTGCAGGGTTGATATAATTTGCTTCTGCAATATGGTGTGTACTGAGTATATGGCACTGCCTTCTAAAATATATATTAAAAAACTTACGTGTCTGTGGACTGTTTAATTAAGGCTAATGACTTACAGACCTTAGTTATGCCTAGCTACTTATAGGCACAAGGACGAGTTCGAGGCACATGCTCCATAGACAGATGTCCCTGCTCTAGACAAAGGTTGCAACCCCTGCCTTGTCATTCCCTGTAAAGATACCTGGAGATTGGAGACCATCAGATAGACTTGTACAGAAGAGTTACTTGGCTGGGTGCCAATAAAATGTAACGAGACCTAGTTTTCTTCATGAGACAGATGATAGAACAAGATGGAATTATTAAAGTGTAGGATTCACACGTCTTGCTGAGATGATCTCCTAAGCTGCGGTGTTGGCATGACATCAACAGCTTTTGTCAATGGCTTTTGTCGCCTACTACAGAGCCCTGACTCTGTTTCACATATGTTTTTTCTTCTTTCGGAGTGCCCGTATTTAAAGTAGAAGGATATCACCTTAAAAGTCTTCCAAAATTAGGAAGCATAAAATGACCAGTTCCACCAAGTAAAAGTATGCATAAAAATCATCACTCATTAGGGGCACCTGGGTGGCTCAGTAGGTTGAGCGGAAGACTCTTGGTTTTGGGTCAGGTCATGATCTCGGGGTTGTGGGATCAAGCCCTGAGTTGGACTCCATGCTCAGTGTGGAGTCTGCTTGAGATTCTCTCTCTCTCTGCCCCTCCCCCGCTCTCTCTCTCCCTCTCTAAAATAAACAAATCTTTTAAAAACTCATCACTCTTCATAATATTGCGTATTACAGAGGGTTCATTATGCACCAGGTATCTACTCTAGATGCATTGCACATATGAACTCACACCTGTATACTACCCACCTGTGCACACAACCAACAAGAAAGATAAGCAAGGCACACAGAGGTTAAGTAACTTGCTAGAGATTTCACAACCAATAAGTGCAGACCCAAGATTCAAATCCAAATAGGCCTGATTTTAACATTATTTGTTTCTTTTAAGGACAAGTTGCAACCCATGAATTTGGTTTTCCATGTGATGTAGTCATAAAACTTTATCAACCTCCCAAGCCCAGACAACAGATGAAATAACATGACTCAGCTTGAAGCCATACCTCATTGTGTCATTGCCATAGCAGCCCAGGTCCCCAATCCCAAGGTCATCGACCATCAACAGGACTATATTAGGCTTATCATCATGCTCCTCTTGGGACTGGCATGCGTTTAAGAGTACACATATCCAAGACAGAGAGATGAAGAGACTCCTGAAAAGCAAGCATGGATTTTATATGTTGATTTTGGGAGCTATGTCCCATTGCAATGTCCCCTTTACATGAAAGCAACAGGGCTCACTGGAGACCAGGCACATCTCCCTGAGGAACAGCCAAGCCTCTTCAATTTCTCTTCCCAAGCATTGGCTACTGTAGTCGAATGGGGCCCCTGATGCTCAAAGGGAGCCTATCCTGGGTTTCCTGCTCACATACACCGCATGCTTTTCCAGGAGGTGAGGTCTGAAATCCTTTACTCAGAGACAAAACATTTCTTAGGCCAGAGGTGATCAGTCTTCTGAGGTCACATCCTGGGAAGAAGGAGCCTGCTGACTTTCCTTCACACCAGACAGAATTCAAATGTGGGCAGGTGTAGAGCTTTGCCAAAGGGACATTTGGTTGGAGCAATAACAACAACAGCAATAAACAGCAAAAAAAACACCAAAAACAAAACAAAGAAAAAGCAACCCTAGGGTAAAGGAGAAGGGTGAAGAACTGAATTCTGGAGAAGGAACAGCCTGGAATCTGAAGACCAGTCTAGTCCCCTTCATGATGCTGCTCAGTCCCAACCCAAGTCCCATTGTCTCAAAGAAATATGTAATTCCCTTCCCACTAGATCCCTACTCAATTATCAGGTAATGAATATTAGACACTTGAACAGTTGGTTCAATCTCCATCTTGTCTTTATCCATATTTCAAAACCCACCTCAAATATCTCCTCCGGAAGGGAGGAAAGAAATGGACGCTGACCCTCATCTGCTCTCAGAACCCTTTGTAAACACTCAGAAACAATGCTGGCCACATGAGCAGCAACACTTTGCTTTTACCCAAACATATCCCCCCAAGACTGTGAACTTCTCAAAGGCAGGACCTATATGGCCAGGAATTTTCCCATTGCCAAATCATGATAATTACATGTGTGTTTTCATCTACCCAACATGGGTTGAATTGCTTTTCTCATGTTCTATTTTTACAATATTTCATTGATTTTTATTTTTGTCACTGAAGTGTAGTGAGCACAGTGTTACATCAGTTCCCGGTGCACAGCACAGTGATTGGACAAATCTCTATGTTATGCTGTGCTCACACTGCAAATGTAGCTACCACCTGTCACCATGCAATGCTAGTAAATTACCTACAGCATCTTAAAATAATACGACTGTTGGAAATCTGCAGTTTACATTTGTATCAGTTGCAAAGATATCTCCTATTTTATCATAGACTTACTGAATCCAGAATATCAATGTAGACATCTACAACGAACCATAGCTAGAAAATATGACCTAGAATGCCTGTTATCCATAAAGCTGAATTCACAGGTGTCCCCAGATTGTCCATTACATTCAACACATTTGCAAAATTGCTGACTACTTCCCTCACCTGAGCTTCATCACACAGTGCCGAGTGCCTTCCTATTTTCCTTGGCCAGAGATAAATTGTGCTGAAAAAAAACAAAAACAGGCGTTATTTTCATGTTAATGACAATAGTCCCCATTGTTAAATCCTCACGAGATCACAAAGCTATATTTCCACTTCTGATATTTAAAATTCATTTTCCAAAATCTGTCAAGACACAAACCTTCCACCATCAATGTCTCTGCCACTCTTAGTTTGTTTTTAAGGAGCTCACACTGTGCCAAGTCCTGGGTCCACCGGCTTCTTTCTGCTTCTTAAGTCAACTGGCCCAGTCCCTAAATCTACCCAAAACACATCTGGATGACAGTATCGTCTTGAGGAGGTGCTGAACCTAAGGGCTTATATTCAGAACGTCTACATGGGATGAATTTGGGTCACCTGAAAAGAGGTAATTACTTGAATGTATCTACCATTTTGGTTTTGCATTAGCATGAATCAACACCACTATACAGTGATTTTAGGATAATCACCATATATCATGAGGGGGGCTGTGATGAGCACATGGCATTACCGCAAAATTCATTGCAATGAAAGAAAACACTCATCTTTTGCCTGCAAACTATCACTCATATATGTACTTAAAATAATATTGGGGACATAATACGAACTACCTCCTTCATCAATCTGTCTTGTCCAAAGCAAGATGCCAGAGACCACAGAGAAAGAGCTATTGGCTAATACATGAAGGAAGGAGGCAGAAAGGAGAGAAACTTATTCAAACAAACATTGGTTTGGATTCAACCTCTCAATGCCTAAGCTGATCCATTGGGCTCTATAAAATAGTCAGCCAAAGGGGCTTTCAAAATCCCAACTCTGCCCCTGATAACAAACTAATCAAGGAGCAAGAAGAGTCAAGAACGTCTGTCCTAATAAAACTTCCTCAACTCACCTGTCACTGGTTTGGTCCACCGGTCATCCAGGACAAAACCAGAAGGCCGTCTTGAAGAACTCTTGCTTCTCCTCAACAGCTACCTGGACTCATTAGACAAATGCCACCCTGCTGGTACCACCTCCCTCTGCAATGTGGAGGCTGGTCAATGCTCTGCCCACCCAGATGGTTCAGGTTTGTGAGACACAAATGAGGCAACCTCATTTGCCTCCCTGATTTGCATCTCCTTGTACAAACCCAGGGGGGAAATGTCATAGTCAGCAAAACCCTTGGCACCTTCCCTGTAGTAACTGAGTGTTCTTATCTGTGACTACCACCAAAATGATTCATCAAGCTGCTCTACTACAGAGACACAATCGCTTGAGTCTGGCCATTGCATTCTGATGACTTCACAAACTCCAGCATTGCCCTGGGGTGATCTGTACACCCAAACAAAGGAGGGGAAATACAGTCTCTCCCAAACTCCCAGGATTATTTCTCAATTCTGCTCAACAAGCCCAACTATGGGGAATAATCTGGGGGCTTGTGGATTTACTATTTGTCAACGCCATGCCCTAAATGGATTGACATTAAGCAGCAAGTGAAGCACAGCGAGACAGAGACAGCCACCTTCCCACATAATGAAAGGATCTGGGTGTATAAGAACCAAGGCATTCTCATCCTACACACAAAGAATAGCTCATGAACACCCAGTTAAACAAACCAGAGCAGTTTGCCTGGGGATTAGCTGCACAGATTCTCATTCTCCCCTTTTCCAATAGAACATAGTTTTGTGTATTTTTTTTTTTTTTTTTTGAAATGGGATGTTTTATTCCAGATGCCACTGTGTGGTTCCATCAACTGTAGATACCAGATCCTGGACCATCAGACCCAAAATACAGATGATCCCCAGGTCATCTTTGTTCTCAGGGAGCTCTGCATGGGAATTGCATAAAAACACCAAAAAGCATGCATGAAGAAGTTCTGAACCCATTCTCTGGAATGAGCACCATGAAAAGTATACCAAGTTTTCATCCTGAACAATAAATTTTAAGGCATAAAAGTGTTTCCAAATACAGATTCCCATGACAGCTCCATAATCACCTGGTTTAAAGTCTCACTGGTGTGTTCATTCAATGGTTCTTCTCCTTCCAGATTCTGGGGGCTCTCGTTATGCATCCCATCTTCCCTTGTGTTGTGGGTTAAGTTTCTTAGGAAGTTACTCAGGGCCCTTACTTATCGTACCATAAAAGGTTTTCCACTCATGTACATTTGTGCTCCCTGTTAGTAATTTGTTTCCATAGGATTTGTGCATCTTGGATATGTTTGGTACTTGTTGGCTGCCACTTTATGTTAATAAATGCAACTAAGTGACCACTGTCTGTCAAATTTCAAGGGTTAATTAATGCTACTTAATCAGTCATTGTTATGTAATGCAATACCACTATCATAAGCAACCATCTTAAAGTCCAGAAACTAAACCATTGGAAGAAAAGACACAAGACGGCCAGACTGGGGGCGTGTTTCTTGAGTTGTATTCATCCAATATGATCCTGTTAACGATGAGTTGAAATCAACTCTGTCCTCAGATTGAGTGCTTGTGGCCAGACTGGGGGCGTGTTTCTTGAGTTGTATTCATCCGATATGATCCTGTTAACGACGATTTGAAATCAACCCTGTCCTCAGATTGAGTGCTTGTGGAAATGAGTTGGAAAACCCTAAATAGGTACGATTTGGCACTTGACCACTCTCCTCAAAAGAAATGCATGAATCTTAAGATATAAGGCTTAATGGACACTTGAACAGGACTTTGAGTACATGCGAACATTTGTGATCACGTTGGGCATGGTGTCCCTGGTGAAGATCAACGTCTTCCAAGAAAAACTGATAGGATGTCTGCCTTGTCAAAGTTGGCATTTTTTTTGAGAATGTAGATTGTGCCTATGGAACAAGGTGTTGCCTCCGATCAGAGGTAGAGTTAGATTATAAACAGTCATTTGCTTACCACAGATGGTAGAGACCTTTGCTAAGCTCCTTAGACTCTCAAGTTCATTTTCTAAATGGATGAAATCATGTTCGCACTTTCATGTGTACATATGCACTGTTATTAAGGGAACCCTCTCAAGGACTCTCCCTGGCCTCATCCACTGATAATTTCAGGTGTCCCCCAGAAAGGGGGTCATCATTCTTATCCTTCACAGGGATCAGATGCTGAAGACTGCATAATTCCATACCCAAATGATACGGAATCAGATTCTCTGGCCCTCCCTAGAGATGAAAGATGTGTTAGCCAGATAAGAAGTACAAACCCTATCCTGCCTTTCAAACATAAAAACATGGCCTGCCAATAATCCAGTTTCAGGGAAGCCATAACACACACATCGTTTTTGCAATGAGCAACACACTAAGAATAGCCTTTATGGAAAAATGGCCAGGGGCACTTGGGTGGCTCAGTTAGTTAAGCATCTGCCTTCAGCTCAGGTCATGATCTCAGGGTCCTGGGATCAAGCCTGGCATCGGGCTCCCTGCTCAGCCGGGAGTCTCCTTCTCCCTCTGCCCCTCCACCCAGCTCGTGTTCTCTCTATCATTATCCCGCTCAAACAAATGGATAAGATCTTAAAAATAAAAGAAAGAAAGAAAATGGTCAGACTCCCACCAGATGTTGGAGAACTAACTCTTCTGCCTTCAAGCAAAGTTGCATTTGTTCAATAAAGTTTTAACAACGCTAGGGAAGCTTTTGATATCTGCAGTAGATATCAAAGTTACAAGGCTGAGTCGGAATGGCTCGTTGCTCAAAACAGAGCCTTCAATTCCAGGACAGGCGAGAAATGTGGAAATAACCAAGTGGAATAAAAGATCACAGAGGAACCCCTGAACGCATCCTCGGTTGAAACGAGGACACAGATGACAATGTGCAAAGAATTCTTTTTTTTTTTTGATTATGTTAATCACCATACATTACATCATTAGTTTTTAACGTAATGTTCCATGATTCATTGCTTGCGTATAACACCCAGTGCTCCACGCAGAACGTGCCCTCTTTAACACCCATCACCAGGCTAACCCATCCCCCCACCCCCTCCCCTCTAGAACCCTCAGTTTGTTTCTCAGAGTCCATAGTCTCTCATGGTTCATCTCCCCCTCCGATTTCTCCCCGTTCATTTTTCCCTTCCTACTATCTTCTTCTTCTTCTTTTTTTAACATATAATGTGTTATTTGTTTCAGAGGTACAAGTCTGTGATTCAACAGTCTTACACAATTCACAGCGCTCACCATAGCAAATAATTGTACCTGGGATGATCAGAGGGGGATCTTGGAAAAGGTAACTCTTGGACTGAAGTCCTGACAGGGTGCATCTAAGTCAGGTCAGAAAGTGGGGGTTTGCCAGGGGAGATCCACGCAACACAGGAGGAAATAAATCGTAAAACGCTGGGAACTTGGACTTTGCTATGCGGAGCTTGGATTCTAGCTCACAGCAAAGGAGAGCTACTCCATGATTTATGATGGATTACTGAGTTTGCAACAACTATGTCTGAGAAAAGGAAAGCATCGATGGCAAAGAAAATGTGACAATTCAGATGTCATGGTTCCCTCGAGGGTATACTGTAGGACGGCATTTGTGTGTGTCGTGGTTCTGGACAAGTGTGTTTGATTCCTCCCCAGAGGCACAAGACGCTGAACCGCGGACAGGCTAAACCACTTGGGGCTGTGTCCTGTCTCCCATACACAACAGCTGGGGTGGGAAATTTAGTACCCCAAAATACTGCCCCGCCTGATGTTGCTGCAGCCCCCACCCTGCCTTCCAGACCTGGATAGGGTGGAGAACAACATGCCTGTCTTCGGAGAGCACACAAAGGTGTGTTTCCTGCAGCCAGTACCCTCCACGTTAGCCCTGTCCATGCAGGCTCCCCAGGGCCACTGAAGGGATTGTTCTCTACCACACACGCTGAACCCCACTCTCGCGGGGTTACCAGATGTAGTAGATAAATGCTCCCAGCTCATTTTGACTCTCAGTGACGTGCGCCGTATTCATTTTAGCGCCAAGTACGTCCCAAATACTGCACGGGGACCTCACACTGGGGAAAAGCATTTGTTGCTTATCTGGAATCCAAATCTAACTGGAACGTTAATGTTGGGCCTGACCCGCGAGCTACAGAGCGGTTTGCACGATTTACGGCACAGGTTAATGTGACACCCGACCTCACCAGGAGGAAGTAGACAAAGTCACACTGTCAATAATGGCCGAGACCACTCGATACAATTCATAAACATCCACCATTAAAAAAAAAAACAAAACAGCAAACTGATGATAGAGTGTTTCGTTCTTTTTCTTTAGAAAGGGATGATATGTGTGTGTGTAAGGGTGTATCTATGTGTTTGTGTGTACGTGTGCGTGCATATGTGTCTGTGCATGGATATGTGTTTTTGTGTGCCTCCGTGTCTCTCTGTGTGCACATGCATGGTATGTCTCTGTGTATGCTTCTGTGCATGTCTTTATATGTGTGTGTTTTGGTGTGTGTGTGTTGTGCATCTGTGTATGTATGTGTTTATCTCTGTGTGTTCACATGCATGTTGTGTCTTTGTGTGTGTATACACGTGTGTGTGTGTGTGTGCACTCCTGTGCATGGCAGCATGGGCCAGCTTATGAGCACAACAGCAGAGGCAACTGCGTTAAAATCCAGGCAGGGGTGTGGCATTGGCCTACTCTCCACTAATATTGAACTTCAGTTTTGGAGGCTCTGCCCAGGGAACCACATAATAACCCCAAGAAGGAAAGGATAGGGTCTTGCTATTAATTATAAAAGAAATGTTCAGCTCGGAAAACCAACAGTCAATGGAAAGTCTGATGAAACTAATTAACCAAAAGCCTTAGGAATCTACACCAAAGTGATGGGTCGTGGTGTCATAGCCAACTACATGGCGTGAAGCAGAGTTAGTGATGGTCCCCAGTGCAGAGGGACGGACAAGGTGAGGGTGCAGAGACACCTGGGATGTTGGATCATCATGGCAAAAAGGAAACAAAAAGCATCACTGGTGCCATAAAACACAGATGCCATGGTTATGGGCTGGGATGGTGAGTTCCCCTTAGCTGGCATGCCACTCGCCCATGGGACAAGTCTACGTCTGCCGGGAGGAGGATGCGAGGCAGGGCAGGGAGAGGGGCCACATGCTCAGGCAGCATCCGAGCCTCTCTGGGGAACAGCCCAGAGTCCCTGCTTTCCAAGAACTCAACCCCTGTCAGCACCTCCTTCAAGACAGACCCGATCCACTCCACCACACCCCCAAAGACAAGTAAACATTCCCCCATACCTTGTGCCACATAATCGCACAGAAAAAGAAATGCCCAAAGTTCAGATACAAGGAAAGCAACCTGACGCTGGGAAAGACTCTATAATCCAATACACAGACCACAGACAACCTTCAAAAAAATTCAGAATATCCTAGGAGATGGAATTTCTCCATAAAACAGAAAAGCCGTGCTAAGACTACTAATGTATGTCATCAGCAGAACTTTGTCACTGGCAAAGGGAGGCACCATGAAGAAGCAGGAATGATACTTCATAGTGAGAAATCATTACTGAATTAAAACCGGACAATGGTCGTAATACCACAGTGAAAACCCACAGGATGTGGGATGGAAATTTATGACAGGCCAGGGAGAAAGAGCAAAGGGTGTGGTGGATAAAACTTCTAAAGATACACAAGCTCTATGATGAAAGCCACTCAAGAAAGATAAGAAGGAACACACACAAAAGACAATCCATAAAAACCCAGAAGACTCTTTTCATGAGTCCTAACAACTTCATGAGTCCAAACGATTGCATAAGAATCCAACAAAATGGTCAGAGTGGACGCATCCTGGTAATTTGTTGGTTTTCAGCTTCAAGTGTAAAGAATAAACCCAGGGTTATAGAGATCAGGAAAGAAAGACAAATTAAGTGTACATTTAACTAAACTACAGTTTGTCTACAAAAATAAAATATAGTTTGTCTCTATTTGGGAGAAGTGAACACAGAATTTTGGAAGCTTACAGATGTAGGGATGGATGGTGCACAAGTTTCTTGGAGCTCCTGCCACAAATAACCACAAACTTGTTGGCTTAAAACAATAGGGATTCATTCTGTCCCAGATCTGGAGACCAGAAGTCTGAGATCTAGGCAGGGCAGGGCTGCTGAGATCCAGGCAGGGCAGGATTGGTTCCTCCTGGAGGGGGACAGGCTGCTCCATGTCTGTGTCCCTGCTTCCAGGGGCTGCTGGCGGTCATGGGCATCCCTTGGCTGGTCCCACCTCTGCCTCCATGTCCACATGACCTTCTCCCCGTGTGTCTATGTCCAAATTCCCCACTCCTTTTATAGGGACACCAGGTCATGCCCCACGTTACTCTAGGATGTCCTCACCTTAACATAGCTGATTCAACCTGCAGCAACCCTATGTCCAAATAAGGTCACATTCTTATCCAAGGTACTGGGGAATTAGGGCTTCAGCATGTGGTTTAGGGGTGAGGGACCCCATTCAACCCACAACGTGCTTCAACCCTGGCCTGTTACCTCCTCCCTGAACACAGACACACAGACAGTTCACCTAGCTCCTCTCTGATGCTCATCCAGGGGCCGTCTCTCCTCTCCAACCCCAGGCTCTGCTCCACCATCATGTCACTACCAGAAGATCCCTCCCGGACCACCCTCCCCCCGCCACTGGCTCATTACGTGGATACCTGCCTGGTGAACCCAATGTCCGGGAGGCTCTTCTGATGACCCATTGTGCCCCATTCAAATGTCAGGTGCATGAGGGTAAGGACAGGCTTTGCCTCTCCGCCAGCTGCATTCCCAGCACCCGTAAAACCCTCCATATACAAACCCAGATTTCCAGCTTATAACTTCAAGACAGAACCATGAAGCCAGGTCCTATTCTATGACATCTCGCCATGACTCTGCCGAGTCCCCTTTTGGACTTAAAAGAAGACCAACAAAGACCCATTAAAAGGTTGCAGTTCATTTGAGCCAACAAGGGTCTGTCTGCAGCGGGCACCACCAAACCTAACGTGGTCCTGAGCTCTTTAGGGATGGGAGCTCGGGAAAGCCTTTTATAGGACAGATGCAGAGAGGTGGTTATCAGACGGGCTCTACGGCTTTTGGGAAAGCCTAGCTGGACTGCTGTTTGTGGCTGGTTCTTCTCCAAATTTCGTTTCCTCGGGTACAAGTACGTTTGCCGGTTTCGGTTTGCTCTCTTTGCTATCATGGTATCAGAGCCACCTCATTCCAGCACACTTCTTGTTTAATTAATTAGAAGATTAATAGTACCTTGTGGCATCTTGACACCTCCTCCATGGCCACTTTTGAGGTCACAGTGAAGACCTCCATCCACGTCTCAGTGGGTGCCAAGCAGCTACATCACTTCCCAGACCTGTGTCCCCCAGGCAGAACACGACTGAAATTCGCAGTGTATGTTCTCTGAAAAGTACGGATGGTTCAAGGCCACAATCACACACGGGGGACCCCATGACTTTCATGCATCATTGGCTGATAAATGCCTCCCTGAACAAGGCAGGATACAACACCAAGTATCCAATACCATCTCCTTTGGGGATGAATATGCCCAGCATTTTAACCCACACATCGTTAGGTGTGAAGGAACATATATTCATGAGCCTCTTTTCTCTTAAAACATGTTCATATTTTTGGGTGGTTCTTTTTGTTTGTTTGTTTCTTTTGCTTCAGACCAGCCACCTGCCCTCTCAGCCCAGCTGTGCAGCCAACTTAGACCAGGACCACAGAGGCCCCATTTGGCACTGCAACACATCACTGCTCCTTCAGAGCCTGACCTGGGGGCTTGTCCAGGGCCCCGGAGACATTCTGGCGTGTCCAGATTCCTATGCAACCAATGCCGATACCCCTTACCTTAGCTCAAAGCTATGGATCCCAGGCACTGGGGTCAGAGGCGCTGAGTTCAGAGGGGTTTCCAGAATTTTCTGGAGGAAGTCTCTGCCTGCAAACCGTGGGTGTGCGGTGAGCTTATATGTGCAATTTCCCTTTTGCAAATGCAGGGGATTACTCCTTACTGTCTTTTCTTACAACACGTCTCTATCTTGTCCATCCCAATTGGTTAGATATCCTAATAACACACATTGGGGTTGATCTCAACCTTTTTCTTCTGAGGGTGTTTCTTGAGCCCTGAATAAATCCTGGGTTGAATCCCATGAAACCTCCATACTCAGCCACATCATGACAATGCCATGGGGTTCAAGTCAACAGATGCAGGGCCTTTTCTTACAACACGTGTCTATCTTGTCCATCCCAATTGGTTAGATATCCTAATAACACACATGGGGGCTGATTTCAAACTTTTTCCTCCAAGGATGTTTCTTGAGCCCTGAATAAATCCTGGGTTGAATCCTACAAAACCACCATGTGTGTGTAGGTCATACCAGCCACATCGTGACAATGTCATGGGGTTCAAGTCGACAACAGACTCAGCTCCTGTCCCTGCGGACACTGACGCAAGTCTGATTTGGAGGACAATCACTGTGAGATCTTAGAAGGCTGACATCGATGCTGAGTTAGCCATACCTGTACAGGTAGGTGCAGATGCGAAATTATGACGCGGCCAATGCTGCATAGACATGGTAGTAATCGCCAGGTGCAACTATGGTGGGAGCTCATTCCCTGTCGGTGCACGAGGATATTAAATGACACTGACCATATAGGGCATGTGATGGGCTAATCACAAAGACATTGCTTCCCTCAGCTCAGAGATCCCACAACTCTGAAATGCAGGGGGACACGTGTCTACCACTCAGAGTTGTCACGAGGAGCAAGCATAGCATAAATAGAACTCTCAGCCCCTGGAGGGCACTGGGTTTTACCCATTCCCCAGTCTTTTCTCCATCCTGCATCTTATTTATTTTAAGATGACCAATGTCAAGTGCCCCGTCATGCCCCTTATTGGCAGACTATTCAAATACAACGAATATCTACTCGTTTTCTAAACATGGCCTGAAACCATGAAGCACATCCTTGAGCAGCGGCATGTGCC